AACCTGCACCTATCACTTTCCCAGCAGGCATGTCTCCTGCTGGGCCCCGCCCTCAGAACAGGCACCCTCATCTCTACAGAGACTGAATGGAACAGACAGGTAAGGACATTCAAAGGGCTGTGGCCAGTAATCAAGTTAAAGAGCACTCCCTGAGGTATTGTTATCTTTTAAAACCAGACATTCTCAGGGGCCAGGTTAGGAAATTCAATGTATTGCTAGAAATGACAAAAAGGAAGAATTAATATTCTCAGAGCAAAAGTTAAAGAACCTTTTAATTCCAGTACCTCATCTTTTGTGTGTGTGTGTGTGTGTGTTTATTTATATGTATTTTGATACTATGGGCTGAATTCAGGGGGCACTGAGCTATATCCCCAGTCTTTTTTTGTGACAGGTTCCTGTGAAATTGCTTAGAGTGGCCTTGAACTTCTCCTGCCTCAGTTTTCTAAGTTCCTGGGATTATAGGTGTGAGCTATCATGCCCAGCAACACACACATATATATTTTTTAAAATTTTCATTCTAAGTTGTCATTTTTGGCAAGTTGGTAATAGTAGATTTTTCCCCCCTCAACATTGCTCCTTGGGCAAAATGGAACTGGCAATTCTATATTGGCCTTTAGCATTTAGGAAATTTTACTACCCAGAAAAATAAGAATTCTAGCTTACACAGCCTTAAAGCAAATTTTCCTATATTTTAATATACTTGCTTTGGAAAAATTGGGAAAACTTTTATGCTTCACATACACCTTATAAATATAGCCTGAGGGTAACTTTATAGTACATTTTTTTTTTAAAGAGAGAGAGGGGGGGGAGAGGGAGGGAGGGAGGGGGGGGAGGGAGGGAGAGGGAGGATTTTTAATATTTATTTTTTTAGTTTTCGGTGGACACAACATCTTTGTATGTGGTGCTGAGGATCGAACCCAGGCCGCACGCATGCCAGGCGAGCGTGCTACCGCTTGAGCCACATCCCCAGCCCAATACAGTACATTTTTAGTGTGTCTGTGTTTCTGACTGTGATTCATCACAAGAGGTCAGGTGATGTTTCCATTTGGGCATCATGCCTATACTCAAAACTTTCTGGTTTTCAGATTAGGATATTCTACCTGATAAAAAAATGCAATTCTTAGAGCATTATTCTGCTATGCAAAAGTGACAAATGATGATAGGGGCATTGTTAATGAAGGTCAACTGATACCACAGAACAATTACATCACTCTCTTCACAAGGCAAAGACCAAATTAGAAAACTAAAAAGGACTTGAGTATCTTACTTTATGTGTGTGAACAATCAGTATTTTCAACAAAGGAAAGTCAATTTAAATCCTAAAGTGATCAAGAACTCAGTTGTAGCCCTGATTACTTGCTGACCAGCTGTGACATTGGGTAGTTTGTGTACATCATCACTGATATTTTATGTACTGTTTTGTGAGATGGGGATAATTTGCAAGACTGCTGTGATGTCTTTTGCTGGTACATAGTACATGTTCATCAAATCACAAAGACTACAATAGAATGTTACATTTTATAGACACAGATAACTAAATTACTTTCCCAAAGTCACAAACTAGTAAATGGCAAATACGAAAGCAAAAGCCCAGGTTCCTCAGTCTTACTTGTTTCTTCTAGAATGCAATATTGTCGGAACAAGGTGGGGTCCTACCTGGCAAAACCATTTCAATCTAAACAAAATTGACAGCTAGCTTCCAATAGTTATGTAGAAATAAAACAAACACTTTTATGGCTTATTTTGAAATGCACTTTTAAAAAAGCTTATTTATCCTAAATCTAATAGAGTCAAATAGGAGAAAGAGAGACCAATAATTCAGTGTTGCTAGATAGAAATGGCTTCTACATATTCTACCCAGAACGTAATCGCATGAATGTACATATGCATACATGTACCCAGATTCATAGTAATAGTAATGAAATATGCTTACAATACGGGCATTGCTATGGAAAAATAAGTCGAGTAAGTTAGATACTTGTAAATTTCTACAGCAAACTAGCTTTTATTTTTTCATTTCTCAAACTTTAAAAGCTACTCCTGTATTTTAAAAAATAACTTGTCATGTTATGCTAGTTATATCAAACTAAGTAACTGAATTCCATGGATACAAAATCCATTTGAAAATCACACTCCATTTAGATAATTTCCATTAAATAGATCAGTGATTAAAAACAATCTCTGTAGCTTTTCATACCCTTGTGAATTTTGGGTATCTAAAAACCAAATCAGTTTCTGATTTGATTACCAATAAAAAAAAAAAAAATCAACATTTTGCCCATTTGTCATTTTACACAATAGTTCATCATCTCAAATCCCTAAGGATTTCCACAATATAACCTGTTACAGAATGCCTAAGGAAGTCTCATTCACTTTAAAATGCACTTAAGGAGATACTTATCTAGTTTCTGAATTACAGACACCTTTGCCTCAGCAACCTGGGTCCAGATAGGCATAGGGACCTGTGCTATCATGAGCAGCATACATCTACAAGCCCTGACATGGGAAAGGCAAAACTGCCCCCACCAAAGAGAAATCTTTCTTTAAGTGGAGCTCACTCTAGTGCATGGAGATGAAACCGGAAAAACCAGCCTCAGAAGGACCCTATGAGCTAACTCTTAAAAGGTAGCCACAATGCTACACCACACCCAACATTGTATTTAAGTAGCACTTTTCTAAAGTAACTTGAGGAATGAATTTTTCTTCAAAACATTCCAAAGAGGAAGGCTTCTCTGAACAGTCCTTACCCTTAGTCCCAAATAGGAGGTGCTTTAAATAGGAGGCTTCCCAATTATTGTCTCTAACATTGCCCTTACCTGTAATTGCCCTTAGCTCCCTAGGAGCTCTGATCCACTTCTAAGCAAAGCCCATGTCCTGTTTACCACTGAATCCCCAGTGGGCAGAATAACACACAGCACACAGTAGGTGCTCAACAAACAACCTAATCGCTGGAAGGGATACATGACTCAGAGGCAGAAAACTTAAGGGGACTTGTTAGCTTTCTTAAAATGTGTTCATGTTCTGGACCAGGCCATGGATGTCTTCCTTCTCTGAACCTCCCATAATTAGAAACATTTATTGAATCAAGTACTATAGGCTACATATGGAGGAAACAAAAATTGACAAGAGGAAAATTCAACCACACTCAGTGCGGGAACATAGGTAATGGGATCTGTGTGTGTATTCATATTTTTTAAGGGAACAGAGAAATAAACTGCTGGTCTCCTTGCCTCTTGGTTTCTTGCTCATTCCCAAATATTCTATGTAATCCCAAATTAGTTTCACTGTCTTTGAGTCAATGCCTTATTAAGAGACCTTCACTGTTCCAGATGCCCACTGGACAGGCACATGCTTCTCAGAATGACAGTCTGAACCTCCACACATACACACCCGTGTCCCCTAAAGTCCCTAAGGAACCTTTCCCAGAAGTGAGGATGCAGCCCCACTGCACCTATGTTAGAAAACCATTCATCATCTCACTTCTCACCCATTCTAAAGCAAACTTCATTTATCACACAGCTCACCCACATGCACCCAAGTCTTCATAGTGATCCACCTGTTAGCAACTGCATTCATTTCTCTTCAGTACACATGCAAGTTTATTATCTCATTTTATACGTGTATGGAGCTATTAAAAATGAATAATTCTGAATTGCTTTTACCTTTATGTCAGATACAAAAACAACATAAAACTTATTTCCTGTACTCTTATGATCCAAAATTGGGTATTTGAAACAGGTATAATTATGCTATTGAATTTTAAAGTCATGTTCCCAACACTAACATTTAAAAACAAACAGGGTATAGAAAGCAACATTATTTCCAAAACGATTAATCCTAAAAAAGCATTACAGGAAGTTCTCAAAACAAAACAAAAATACGAAAATTGGAGCTTTAATTTTCCAGCAAGACAGTTTAAATGCAATAATGTTTTGTTACATGACACTTTAAATCCAATTCATCTCAAAACTGAAACTACGTTTTGTTACAACTCTAAATATATGTATCAGTATGTGGAATGATACTTTTAATTCTCCATACTATTCAATGTTTCTTGGACATTCCCCACATCCCTCCTGCCTATCATTGAAGATGACTGCTCTTTATTTTGAAGAGACATCCCATTCACAGGATTCCCCTACCTTTGGCAGCTTTTAAGGGATTTTCCATAGAAAGAACTGTTGTCCACACCCACATGACAAACTTCAATGACAAATCCTCTAAGTCTGAGTTCATTAAAAAAATTTCCCTTGCAGTTGCAGTATTAGATCCTGAGGATATTAACCTGGAGCCTTACTGTAATGTTTACTGTATTTGCAGGTCACTGGGTTATATGAGGTCAGGGATAAATACAGAAGTCCCTCTGCCAGACATTTGTAGTTAAAACAAGAAACTTAAGTGTAGTTTTTGTCTTAGTAGTCTCTGTAAGGAATTTTAAACTTCATTTCGGTGCATTTGTGAACGTGGGCTCAAAATGAGAAAATAAACCCCGGTTCATTCCCCCCCACAAGGCAAACCTAAGAGGTCAAAACCCTCTATCAATGACTCAGGAGCTTTAACAAAAGGAGCATCGCGTCGATGAGTGGCCTTTCGCTTTAACTTCTTTCCACTGCCTGTCTAATCCCCACCCCACCCCCTCGCAACTCAGTTTTCCTTGGGTGAGTCTGGAAAAGGCTGGGAGTTTCCGCGGAGACGGATGCATCGCTCTGACCTCCTGCCCCCGGCCCGTGGAGGGTTCAGGAGATCGCCCAGGCTCTTGGTCAGGACCCCGCTTCCCACCCGGGACGCGAGGACCGGGGGCTAGGGACGAATCAACGTAAAGTAACCCAACGAAAATCGGTCTGGCTTTGGGAATGGACTCAGAGGCTTCCACGAAGTTCCCAGATTTCATCCAGAGGCCCATACGCCAGATGTAAGGCTACCCGGGCCCCTACAGCTGGAGAAAGGCCCAGTCTCGCGGAGAAACTAGGCCGACAGGCGACCCACCGCAGCTCCCTTACCCACGGTGGACTTGCAGGCCTCGCAGAAGGTGTCGTCGGTGAAACGCTCCATTAGGCTGGTCTTTCCCACCCCGCGGGAGCCGATGATGATGACCTGCAGCTTGAAGTCCGCCGGCCTGGGGGGCTGTTTCCTCCGACGCGCCTGGCCGCCGGTCAGCACCGCGAAGTCCGCGCCCAGGCCGCCGCCGCCGCCGCCGCCGCCGCCCCCGGCCCGCCTCTGCAGCGCGGCACCCGGATCCATGCAAGCATACGGCTCGCGCTCGGCCAGCCGCCCGCCCGCCTCGCGGCCGCGCGCCCCAGGCCCCGGCGCCCCCTTGGCCTCCGCCGCGCGCGGGGCCTCGGCCCCGAGCTCGGCGTCCGCCCACTCGAGCGGCCCCGGCGGCCCGCGGGCTCCCCGCTGCAGCTGCGCCGCCGGCCGGATTCCCGCGCCCCGCTCCCCGCCGCCGCCGCCGCCAGGAGAGGAGGAAGGGAAGCAGCTACTCCGCAGCAGCGGTAACAGCATCCCGGACGAGGAGGGGCAGGAAGCGCAGGCGCCAAGGGGCGGGGCCGCGAGGAGGCGCGCGTGCGCCCCCTGCCTACTGGAGGACTGCGGTCCTGCCACTGAGGTCTGCTCTGTTGCCTTCTGGCTTTTCTGCTCTTTTCCTGCTTCCTCCAATTCGCTAGCTCTTGCTTCCCTGTTTGTTTCTGTTGGCTGTTTTGTCTTTTCTGCTTCTTTCATCCTCTCTCTATTCACTCCTTTCCCTACTTTAACTGTACATAGTCCCCAAACACCATGCACTTTTATTAGATGTCTGTCTCTTCCTATACTTTCTATACTTTCTTGAATCTCTGTGCTAAACTCAAAAGTCTGGCCAGGGCCCGCAGAGGTCCTGAAGCCAGGCTCCCGCATCACGCGGTGCCAATGATAGGTTCTAGTCTAAACCTACTTTCGAGCATAAACACCACTCAGGGGTGGAAGCCCCCGGGCACCGTGTTGCTGCTTGGTCTTTTCGTGTCTCGTGTGTATTGCACTTTCCACGGAAACACAGGAAATGAGTTATCTTAACTCCATTGCTGCCTCTCAAAGCTCAGAAATTTTTATTCCGTTTACTTTTAAAATTTTAAGTAATAAATGGCAAGCGCCTTTGAGGAAGCAAGTGAGTCAACAAACTGATTAGGAGACTGAAATTCTGAAAGTTTAGGAATTAAGGACTCAGTGTTATGTTTTGCCTTTTGTGTTTGAAAGGATTCATGCCTACAAATCACTGGGTTCATGCCTTGCCAGGGATTTGTTTAGCAAATTCCTCAGCGTGAACTTGAGCACATCGGAACACAGGGTTCTAAATATGATAGGAGCTGGCACACTTGCACAGAATGATCACGTTGCCCACCAAATTTCAGCTGTATTTAGAACTAGGTTTGGTAATGCATAGTGCGTGTCTGTTTCACTACAACCTGATCTGTAAAAGTCTGTCATCGCTCCCAAGGTGAGCTCGTAGAAGTTTACATTTATGAGGGAAATATTTGCTTTGCAAATGCAAGCATGATATCACAAATTGAAAAATGTTTTAACAGTTTTTTTTTTTTCCTTTGGTGGTGGTGGTGGTGGTGGTGGTGCTGGGGATGGAACCCCAAATGCACTGCCACTCCCAGTACCACAGGACAAGGAACTGAGTTTCTTTTGTGTTCTATAGGAATAACACTGATAACCTGCTCTTCATCTAGTTGTCAGGCAAAACCAACCTGTAACCCTTGTAGTCTGTTATAAATCCTAATTCACGAAATAAAAATAGAGTATTAAATTGATATATGACCCAAATAACCAGACTCTCTTCCACAAGGCCCAACTCTTAAAGGTTCCACCACCTTCCAGTAGTGTCATTTGGCTGGCAACCAAACCTCTAACACATGGGCCTTTGAGGGACAATTCTAAACCATAACAAGTCCTGAGCAGTAAATAGTATGTTCTTCACTACCACCTCCCCTGCCATGTGTAATTCAAAAGAAAAAGCAGATGAAATTCAACAAAAATTTACAAAGCTGGATTTCTGTACCCCGGAAAGATATATTGAAGTCCTAACCAGAGTACTTCCAAATATGGCCTCATTTGAAAGTAGGATCATTGAGATATGATTAAATTAAGATGAGGTCATACTGGAGAAGGGTGGACCCTCAATGCCATATCACTAGTGACCCTATAAGAAGAAGAGAAGGGACACAGACATACAAAAGGAGAGAGCGCCATGTGACAACAGAGGCAGAGAATGAAGTGCTGTGGCTAGAAGCCAAGGAACACCAGGGACTGTCAGCAAAACATCAGGGTCTTGAAGAAACAAGGAAAGATACCCCCTATAGCTTTCACAGCAAGCATTGTCCAGCTGACACTTGAATTTGAGACTTCTGGCTTCCAGACCTGAGAGAATAAATTTTGATTGTTCTTAACTAACCAGTCTGGTCCTTTGCTACAGTAGCCCTAGGAAACTCACCTAAAGGGCAGAGGAGTTCTAATTGTTGTCATGATGGGTAGGGATGATCATCTCATGCCTTTTTTGTTTGTTTGTTTGTTTCATTTGGGAAATGCAAAATTCATTCTTAAAATTCTTCCCCTGTGCTGGGAGCCATTAGCCAAGTAGGTATGACAATTTCCTTG